AGGTGGCGCTGTGTTCACAGGTGACACATCCTCCATGTAGCTGCGTGAGGTTCAGGAGGGGTATGGCACGTTTGGGAGCATCCCACAGCATTCCTTGGGACAGCTGGGCTGAGCAGGGGCTCTCTCTTCTAAAGCACCTTGCCATTCCAGGGCTTTACTTCTAGAGGATTTTAAGCAAAGGTATGACACAATCAGATTTTTAAAAAATTTTTTGTTTAGGTATTTTGGATTTGTTTGTTTGTTTGTTTGTTTTGAGACAGAGTCTCACTCTGTTGCCTGGGCTAGAGTACCATGGCGTCAGCCTAGCTAACAGCAACCTCAAATTCCTGGGCTCAAGCGATCCTTCTGTCTCAGCCTCCCGAGTAGCTGGGACTACAGGCATGCACCACCATGCCCAGGTAATTTTTTTCTATTTTTGGTAGAAATAGGGTTTCGCTCTTGCTCACGCTGGTCTCGAACTCCTGAGCTCAAACGATACTCCCGCCTTGACCTCCCAGAGTGCTAGGATTACAGGCATGAACCTCCATTCCCGGCCTGTTTAGATATTTTGATTCAAACTAGATTTTGAATTGTAAAGCTACCATATGTGCATGATTTTTAAATATTGAAATAGTAAAGAAGGCTATAAAATAAATGTTTCAAGTCTCTGCCTCCTTACCTCACAGAAACAACTACTGTATACTGCTTTTTCTGTATCCTTCTGGACATTTTAATGCATATATAAGCATACTTATCTTTAAAAACACATGCATATCCATAAATGGAGTCATAATATGCATTCTGTTCTATAGCTTGCTTTTCCCTTAACAAGATATTTTGGAAATCTTTGATATTTCATTATATCCTGTACCATAAACTAACTAGCACCCTACCCTGGGTGTTTAAGTTGTTCTCAGTTTTGTTTTTGTTTTTTGATATGTATGTATATATGTGTGTACATATTGCAATGAATTGTGCATATATTACTACATACAAATGCAATCGAATACAAAGAATAAATTCCTAACAGTTGAATGCTAGATCCAAAGGTATCTGCATCTTTATTTACTTTTCTTTTGATATTAAAATCTCATTTTTTTAATTTATTTTTTCAGCATTTTATGAGGGTACAAATGTCAAGGTTACGTATATTGCCCTTGTCCCCCCTCCCTCCTCGAGTCATAGCTTCAATCATGTCCATCCCCCAGTTGGTGCACATCACACTCATTATGTATGTATATACCCATCCCCTCCCCCCACCTGCCCGACACCCGATAGATGTTATTCCTATATGTGGTATCTGTATCTTTAACTCAAAAAGTATTGATAAATTTCCCACCAGATAGGCTGTGCTATTTTCCTATTCCCACCAGGAGATCTTGAGAATGCCTCTGCCTCCTCCATCACATTCTGACCCACCAAGGGTCATAATTCTGGCCCATGGATAAGGTGAAAATAATAATATCTCATTGTCTTTTTCATCTCCTTCATTATGAGAGGTGTTTTCCACATTCATTGGTCATGTGTGTCCCTTTCTGTGAATGGCCAGTTTGTGTCCTTTGTCTACTCTCCATTGCTTCTTTCTTTTTCCTTCTGATTTATAAGGGCTTTTATATATTAAAGACCTTAGTTCTTTTTCTGACATGCATGTTGTAAATTTTTTTCCAGTTTGTATTTTGTATCACAATCTTCGTGGTATTTTCCATGGCATGGTCATTTTTAAGTAAGTCTCATGTATCAATATTTTCTCTTACGACTGAGTATTGCTTTATGTTTAGAAAGGTCTTTTTGCTTCCCCAAAATATTTTTATAATTCATTCATGCTTTCTTCTATCTCTCTAAGGGATCTTTTAAAAAATCTGGAATTTGGGGGGCAAAAACAATATGGCATAGAGGATCTAGCCAAAGTCCCCAACAATATTGATTCAGTCCTCTCACCCCACTGACAGGAACAACTTTGCATTCTTAAAGGTCACTGTGGTGGCCTTGCAGATGATGGCCTGGACTGGGGGAGGTGGGAGGCAGCAGGATGAGTAGAGCCACCGAAGCGGAACAAAGAACAAAGGAGAAGTTCTGGCAGCTTAGGGCAGTGCCTGGTACACCTGCCATGACAGAGGGGAAATTTCTGCTCTACAGCCCGGGAGGCTGAAGAGGAAAAGAAGGGCACATTTATTTGCAGGGTAAGGTAGAAAGTTCAGTTTGGTATACAATAAGTTTTAAGTACCTATAAGATATCCAGATGAAGTCCAGTTGAAAACTGGAAATGAACAACCTAGATCCTAGGAGAAAGTTCTTGGCCAAAGATTTTGATTTGGCATCTGTATTAGTTTGCTAAGGCCTGTTGTAACTAAGTGCCACCAATTGGGTGGCTTAAACAACAAAACTGATTATGTCAAGTTCTGGAGGCTAGAAGTCTGAAATCAAGGTGTTGGCAAGGTTGGTTCCTTCTGAGGGCTGTGAGGGAAGGATGTGGCCCAGGCCTCTCTCCTTGGCTTGTAGATGTCTGTCTTTTCCCTGTGTCTAGTCAGATCATCTTCCCTCTATGTGTGTCTCTGTGTCAACCTTTCCTCTCTTAATAATAATGACATCTTATTAAATTAATAAGGGCATTTTTGTCTGACTACTGCAGGTAGATAAAACCCCCTTTCCCCCAACAATATAAAAGCATGCCAGTGTTAGTTTTTGCACATGAGCCTGGAAGCTTTTGGTTTGCAATTGGTGGGGAGAGGGTTTTGGGGGGAATCCAGGAAAAAAATGCTGGGAGGGGATGAAATCATGTTTTGTTTCTTATCTAAGAGCCATAGATGGGAACAGAGCTCCTTCAGTTAGGGTGTGAAGACCAGCTGCTATGAAAACTAGTCAGTTTCACATTGGGCAACTCTGGGCACAAGCAGTGCAGCTCCAGGGGCCAGGTGACCAATATGGCACAGAGGTGGGGGGTCCTTTCCCAGTGATATTTATACCACTCTATTCCCCAAGGAGTGGACACTCAGCATACTGAGGCAGCACCCGTGGCACCAATACCAGCATTCTCATGACACAGTAATACAGCTTGGGGAAGCAGCACTTCTCCAAGTAACTTGGCAGGCGCCAGATATGGACAAGTAGGGCCAGAGCAAGAGAAGAGGAATGGTGTGAATGCCATGAGGAAACTGCAGCTGCAAAACTTGTTTTCTTTTTTTTTTTGAGACAGAGTCTCACTTTGTTGCCCAGGCTAGAGTGAGTGCCGTGGCATCAGCCTAGCTCACAGCAACCTCAAACTCCTGGGCTCAAGCAATCCTGCTGCCTCAGCCTCCCAAGTAGCTGGGACTACAGGCATGCGCCACCATGCCTGGGTAATTTTTTCTCTATATATTAGTTAGCCAATTAATTTCTTTCTATTTAGAGTAGAGCTGGGGTCTCGCTCTTGCTCAGGCTGGTTTTGAACTCCTGACCTCAAGCAATCCACCCGCCTCGGCCTCCCAGAGTGCTAGGATTACAGGCATGAGCCACTGTTTGTGTGAACTTCTGAGACACTTTTTGAGGTAATGCCAGAAACCACTGGGGTACCAACTAGGGAGGGGGAGCTGAAGCCCTCCTATGTGAACGGGGGTTATCAGCCTACACTGTGGTTATTCTGACAACTTGATTCATTTGTTGCTTTCAGTTCACTAGCATTTCCATTGCTGTGACACACTCGTGCATCACAAACCTTGCTATGCAAATTCTTTTGGTTGCAAGAAGCAGAGATTGACCCAGAGAGGCCTCTGGGCATAAGAGACCTCATCATTTGAAGTGCCCAATATACCTACCAACACGACAAGGATCGTTCCACTCTAAGGCTGGGCAGGCAGTGCGATGAACCCTTTAGGAAGTCACATGTACTGGCCTAATAGAATGGGGTGGCATAGCCTACGTGGGATGAAAACCTCAAAGAGACCCACCCCGTTGGGTCCACGCTCTAGTAGACCACAGCGGACTCTGTATTTTTTAATGAACAGAACTTGAAATGCAAATGAGATAGTGCCTGGCCTAGGCAAATAGAAAGTCACTCTATCCCAAAGAAAGGATTGTCGACAATAAGGAATTTAGAAGCTGGAATGGGGGCAACCAGGGCCTCAGCCTCAACCTGCCCTGAAGCACTGTTTTCAGCAGTGGGGAGCGGTGGGGTACAGAGGCTGGGATCCTGAAATCCAGCCCTAAAGCACCCCAGCCTTCCCCCAACCACGAAACACCAGCCAGCCATAAGCCATACTCACGCACCTGCCCCAGGTCACCTGCCACTCTGGATATGTTGGTCTTTCACTCACTATAGGAGGCCACTGAGTCCATAGTATTCTATCTTTTATCACACTTTGCGCAACAGCAATAGAAACCTGAACCTGTAGGTGATCAGGGGATCGGCCACATGACCGATCCCTGGCTTTCCTCTATAGGAATCCAATCTTCCTACCGAGGAGGGATCCAAAATGGAAACTCTTGGGAGGACCCACTGATGGGTCCCTCTGGGTAAGCAGCACAGACTTGGGATAGAATGACCCAATTTACAAAACAAAAAGGCAGCTTGTAACATTATTACTTTGGAAGACTCTTTAAAGGTGGAACTGCTCTACGATGACGTGCCACGTGCTACGCTGCCTCCCAAAGACTCACCCTTCACCTTGGGTAAACGAGCCCCACTGGGAGCTTGGCCATTTGTGGGACACAGGAAGCCTGATATGCTCTTACAGCATTTTTGTGTTCCGTAGCCATCTCCACATTGGGAAAAAGAAGATAATTTATGTTCTCCAAAGATTTCTTGGCATACTGATGTTTTAGAAAAATTTTGAAGGAACCAAGTAGGAGAGGAAGAGGGTACGATGATCACAGAAATGCTCTTTCAGAGGATTCCTGCTGGCCACTGTGCTGTTCCCACTATTTGTGGGTTTTTTGAATAACATGTTGAAATGTCACCTGGTACCTTTGGGAATCAGAAAAGTGATTAACTTATGAATCATTAGTTCTCATTTTTTGGATATTTCATTCTTTGGTCCTTTTTGTAGTTTCTCAGCAGCTCCTATCAGTCAGTATTTAAGACAATAGTCAAAGAAATGGCTGCTCGCAATGAAATAGAAGCGGATATTGACATTCCCCTGTCCAGGCTACTGGAAAGCGGCAACAGAAGGAAACTGGGAATTCTGTAAGTAACTGGAGAGATGGAGCTATTGATCAGTGGTTCACGTCAGCTAGAGGCAGCGGCAGGGAAAGTGTGAATTGGGCCACCAGGGAAAGAGCAAAGCCAGGGCCACATAGGTCCCCTGGATCAAGGAGCAGGCACAGGCCGGGCACAAGGCAAGCGTAAGATCCAGGGGCCAGGAGCCTCTAACAGAGCCTCAATCTAACTTGATTGCCCTCAAAACATATTTCCCAAACACCTACCATGCACTAATCCAGGCTCTAGGGGTAGATTAGTGTGTGCCCCAGAGTCTCTGCTGTTGAGGAGGCCACTTGCTTGCAAGGTGGGCAAAATGCCAAGGAAGGAACACCCTGCCCTCCCCAATAGGGCTCTGGATGCCTCTGGCTGGATCCCCTCGCTGGAGTTTAACTCTTGTCTGCCGTTGGCATCCTGCTCTCAGCTGGAAGAGCAGGCCACCACCCCACCCCCCTTCTTGGTCTTTGTTTTCTCACAAGTACAGATGGGCTAGGTAACTGCTTCAATTCCATTAGAAGTGCTTGCACATTTGGTGCACATGGCCCATGAAGATCTCATTCTCAAGTTCCCCCATTGCTTCTAGTGTACAAATAGTAAACCACCGCTCTCTGCTAGCGGAAACAGTGCAGCCCTACCCAGCAAAGCATGTCCACTTCCTGGGGTGCTGGGGGTCAAATTTATTATGCTCTCTTTGAGGAATCTGATCTAAGAACTTAAATTGTGTTGTGTCAAAGGCTTCCTTCTCAGATCCAGTGAAGCCTGGGAAGCTCACTCTTTCTGGCACATTCCCTTGCAAAGGGGCTCTGATCTGAGAACTGGAAAATATAGTTGCCCTGTAGACCACCCTTATTTGGAAGTAAAACAGCTCACATCATGGAAATGTCGGGATTACTTGCTTTGTATATTGACAGGAGAGGGGGAAAGGGCTTGATCACTTTGAGAGGCTGTGCCTTGGGTGACTCTCATGATAAGTCATCTTGAGTGACACTATTTGAAAATGTCCGACTATAGTAAAGGGGTTTCAAGTGGCTCTGTCCAGTTCATAGACGGTGCTGTTTTTCCAGGCTATTTCCAGATGTAACCCTCACTGGCATGTGGACAAGCCATGGAAAATCAGGCTGCACAAGCCAATTCACAGAGCCACACCTACATGTGGACCTCCCTGCCCTGTCCCTACCCCCAAGATAACCGTTGTTGAATTCATCTGGAAGTGTTTTGAGGTCAGCCATGTGCCCAGGTTGAAGGTCAGTTAGAGACCAGGAGGGATGCCCTGAGTTGACACCACGTGCCATCCTTTACTCCCGAGCATTGCCTGGAAGAAACGCTGGCTCAGAAGGCAGAGCCATTGGCTCAGTTGTCCACCCATGGCAAAGACAAAGCAGGCTCTAGCACCATCTTCGCTGTGTAACATGACTTGTAGGCAGGAACTGACTCCTGGCTTTTCAGTATGATTCATGTTCATTTCAGGTTGAAGAAAAATTATGAAAAATACAAGGAAACAATCCTATGGCTCATGAAGAAACGAGAAGGTAAGCTCCGCTCTACCGTTTTGCAGCCCGTGCCTGGCTCACCTGTCCACATCACCTTCTGTGTGTTCTATAGAGGAGGTATTATAGGAAAGCTCGTTCACTCACTCGAGTGCTTCCTGACCTGGTACAGTCCTAGCTGCCAGGGATGAAACACTGAGCATGGCAGACACAGCCTAGGACCTCAGTGGCTTATCCCTTGGTTAAGAGGAGGAGAATAAACAAGAAAGTAGGGAATTATCGGTCAGGCCCGGTGGCTCACTCCTGTAATCCTAACACTGTGGGAGACCAAGGCGGGAGGATCGCTCAAGGTCAGGAGTTCGAAACCAGCCTGAGCAAGAGCGAAACCCCGTCTCTGCTAAAAATAGAAAGAAATTAATTGGCCAATTAAAAATATATAGAAAAAATTAGCCGGGCATGGTGGCGCATGCCTATAGTCCCAGCTACTCCGGAGGCTGAGGCAGAAGGATTGCTTGAACCCAAGAGTTTGAGGTTGCTGTGAGCTAGGCTGACTCCACGGCACTCTAGCCCAGGCAACAGAGTGAGACTCTGTCTCAAAACAATAAATAAATAATAAAATAAAGAAAGTAAGGAATTATCATAATGGCTCTGCCCCATGGAATGAAGGGGATACTCTAGGGGGGTTCAGAACCATCTAGGCTGGTGAAAAGAACAGGGAGAACATGGCTCAACTTGTATGATGAACCATCAAAATGCAAAGCTCTTTTTTGAGAAGGACACAGATATATCGACCTTCTACTAGGTGGCAGGCACTATGCACCATGCATGCACTATTTCACAGTGACCCGTTAGGTGTCTGCAGGTAGCATTATCCCATTTTAAGGCATCCAAGGCTCAGATACCTTCATCTCTCCCCTGGAATTCTTATCTCCCTGACTCCCACCTTGTTGTCTCGCAGTCCTTTGTTCACATTGTTTCCTGCATAATCTTTTTAAAAACCTTTCATTGGCCCTCCATTGCCTCCAAGAAAATGTCCGCTTTCCTCATATGACTTAGAAGGCTCTCAATTTTTCCTCTCCATACACACTGACTTTTCTGTTCATTAAGGGGCCAAGCATCCACTGCCACGGGGCCTTTGTACGTACATGCTGCTCCTTCTGCCTAGAACACTCTTGGCTCCAATATCCCTGTGGTTTGCTCCCTCACTTTATCCAGGCCTCTGCTTAAATGTTCACTTCTCAGAAATACTTCCCTTGGCTACTCTCTATAAGCCAGTGCTCACGTGCACACACACACATCACTCTCCATCCTTCTTGCCCTGCTCAATTTTTCTTTAAAGCAGGGGCCCCCAACCTATGGTGAGTCATATAATTATTTCATTAGATATTACAATGTAATAATAATAGAAATAAAGTATACAATAAATGTAATGTGCTTGACTCATCCCAAAACTATCTCCCCACCCGCCCCAAGTCCATGGAAAAATTATCTTCCATGAAAATGGTCCCTGATCCCAAAAAAGGTTGAGGACCACTGCTTTAGAGCACTCACAGCCACCTGACACATCACATTTTTATCTGTTCACTTGTTTTGCATCTGTCTCCCCTGAGACAGCAGGGACTGTAACATCCCTGAGAGTTACGACAGTTCTTGGCACACGGGTACACTACAGATATTTACTGAGCAAGCGAATGAATGAATGCTCTAGCCCTGCTTGCCTTTCTTGAATCATGTGTCACCACTAACCCATTCCCACTCTACCCTTCAACCACACAAAAATTATGCTAGGACTCCCCCCTTGCATGTTAGAAACTCACCTTCCATCAAAAGTTTTCTCAGCTTCAGAGCCTGGTTAAGGTCCCTGCTGTGAGCCCAGTATGGGGACACCCAGATCTCCCTTCACCGACCTGCCCTTTGTGGAGATCCTCACTCCCACCAAGAACATTCCAGCTGATGCCACAGTTGGAAGCTCCTCTCCGTGCTTTGGCCTCTGCAGATGCCACTGTTGTGACACATGGAGCAGGGAGTGTCCTTGAGTTATTCTTATTAGTTTAGTTCCAAAACCCAATTGTCATAAAAATGCACAAAAATGAATATAAAAAGAAACGTGTTTCTATGAAAACGAAATTGAATATTTTTTTTAAACCTCAATAACAAAATAGCTTTTAAAGAAACTGCTGTGAATTGGATGTGGACCAAACATACACAAAAGATTGGGGCATGCATAGAAATCTCTTTTTCAAAATTCTATGATTCTGCACTCAGATATTTTGAAACTGCCAACACCTAAGATGATACATAATAAACAATGGGTGTGATCTGAGCAAAAATGATCATAGAGTCCCAGTTATCAGACCGGCACTCAAAAGAAAGATCTTGCCCTACATCATAAATGGCATGTTCATACACAGTTATGTTTTAAGTTACAATAATGTTTAAGGTATGTTCCTTTTGTTTTGTAACAACTCCCCATGTTAGGCTGTTTTTTTCAATTAACAGCCACACTGTTGGTTGGATAAGCCCTTGGCTCATTACGCTGTAGGTGGCATCGTCCTGTCACACCCCTATGTCTGGACTGGGTGGTCTTCACTGTCGCATCAGGCATCTAGCACTGAGATGGCACACAGTAGGCCCTTAATAAATATGTGTTGAGTGAAGGAATGACAAAGCAGAGTTAGCTGGAATTCCAACCCTTGCATTTCCCACTTTCAAAGGTCTTGCTCTCCCAACTACCTGGCAGCCCTCCAGTAGCCCTCAGACTTCCTTGGGCATCTTGAGAGAGCTAGATCTAAGTTTCCCTTCTCTTTCCCACCAAAATCTTATATAATCCAATCATTGGATTGAAAAGCACAAGTGAAGTCGGACGACATTTTTACCTTTAATTTATTGATGCAACCACCACCACCATCTAAGGAGTCTGTGATAGAAGAAGAAGAAAGCAAAAAACCTCAACGTGTTGTTAAGCCCAAGAAGAAAGTAGAACTAGATACAGAATGGATAAAGGCGAGTACAAAGGTAGGTGTGACAGTGCGTTGGTGTTTTTACTTTGCACAGATTTTTTTTTTTATTTTTTTTTGCTCAGAAGAGGCGCACACACATCCTATCAGAGGGCTGTCAAGGACTGATACACAGTGTGAGCACAAGCAAGAATAAATGTATCCAGAGCACAGAGGTAGACCTGTGTGTGAAGGTTATTGGCTAGTTGACGAGGATTTTTGCTGGAATTTGTTGGGATTCTTCTGCCTGCAGGGCCTATAGTCAGCAATTGGATGGGGGTGGAAGTGGAATAAAGGAAGTGTATATAGATTATTCGTGTGTATAGATTATAATGTATAGGTCCCAGCTAGGCACAGTGGCGCACCTATGTCCCAACCACTTGGGAGGCTGAGTGGAAAGATCACTTGAGCCCAGGAGTTCAAGGATCCAGTACACTATGATCATGCCCGTGAATAGCAACTGCACTCCAGCCTGGACAACAGAGCGAGACCCTGTTTCTAAAAAAAAAAGAAAAAATATATAGGTTATAGGTCCATCTTCTAATAAATTAGAATCCATATCAAAAATCAATCACATAGTGAATGGATAAACTGTAGTATATTCATACAATGAAATATGATTCAACACTAAAAAGAGGTGAACTGTCAAGCTATGAAAAGACATGCAGAAATCTTAAACACATATTACTGAGTGAAGGGAGCCAATCTGAAAAGGTTACATACCAAATGATTCCTACTATGTGACATTCTGGAAAAGGCAAAACTATGGAGTCTATAAAAAAGATCAGTGGTTTCCAGGGGTGTGGGAGAGGGAAGGGGGGAGGGATGAAGAGGTGGAACACAGGGGATTTTTAGGGTAGCAAGATTCTCCTGTTTGATTCTGCAATGGTGGATACCTGTCGTTCTACATTTGTCCAAACCCACAGAATGTACAACACCAAGAGCGAACCCTAATGTACACTATGGACTGTGGGTGACGATGGTGTCTCTGTGTAGGTTCATCAATTATAACAAATACACCAATCTGCCGTGGGATGTTGATAAGTGGGGGAAGCTGTGCGTATATGGGAACCTCTGTACGCTCTACTCAATTTTGCCATGAACTGCTCTTAAAAAAATGAAGCCTATAAAAAAAATCAATCATGTGGCATATTGATAAAGAGTGATACTTATAAAGTCATAAGTGAAAACAAGTCTCAAAATGTTGGGGTTATTGACAGTGAGCTAATAATCAGGTCTGAAGATCAAAAAGGAGGCATTAAGGTGGGAATTAAAAAGATGCAGTAGACTTTATCCCTTCGGTAATTATGTATTGAGAACATCCCATGCTCTAGGCACCCTACTAGGTGCTGGAGATACAGAGGCGAACAAAACCAAGCCTCTGCTCCTGAGGAGTGCACGTTCCAGGTGAGAGAGCCAATATACTATACAAGGCTGCGTCAAGTATTGTTAGGCGCCATGTGGGAAAAGCAGCAGGGGTGCACCCCAGTTGTCTCATACCTATAGGGCAATCAGGGACCCCTGATTGGGCCAAGTGCTATCGGAGCCTAGGCCCGGATGAAATAAGGGAGTGAGCCATGGAGATTCCTGGGGAAAGGGCATTCTGGGCAGAGCCAACAAATGCAAAGGCCTCAGGGCCTCAAGGTCAGCTATGAGCAAAGTGAAAGAGGGACAGGAAGTCAGCATGGGTGCCCAGGTCAGGTAAAGCCACTGTCTCAAGGACACACAGCCTGTATTAGTCAGGATAATGCTCATTCGCTGCTGAAACAAATGCTTCCCAAAGCTAACGGTTCCATAAACAGATGTGTGTTTCTTGCTCACATCATGTCAGTTTTGAATGTTGTACCTCTTTTGAGGGGCCCTCCTCCAAGGTGGGCCTCTGGGCCCTTTTGTCATGTACCTCCACCATCTTGGAGTTGTTTGTGTCCAGTTGCATGGACAAGAAGTGAAGCCAGGATCCAAGCTTAAATTCCACCGAACAGAGCGAGTGATGTGACCCCACCTAGCTGCAAGGGAGCTGGGAAATGTACTCCTGCTGTGTATCCAGAGGGGAAGGGGGACGTCTGTGCTAAGAGGAAGAGCGATCGAACGTCTTGACGTGATGAGGGTGGCCTCCCTTGCAGTAAAAGTGGAAGAGAGTAGGAAACTGACACTGTTACCAAAGTATGGACTCTTCTGGCCTCCAGACAAGAAATGGGAAGTTCAGTATTCCTCTCCTGGGTCTGCATGGAGAAGGGGAGTGAGTGGCACCAGTCAGAGCCCGTATGGACGGAGGAGTTCTCCCGGTTGTAACAGACTATGGTAACGGTGTTGGAAGCCCTCGGGTAGACTCTTCAGCTTTCTCACCTCCCTGGCCTCCCTTCCAATAAATGAAAGAAACCAGACTTGGTTTCTGGCTAACTCCATGCCCCTCCATGCCCTGCCCTGCCTCTCCTCAGAGCTTTTGCACCTGCACCATCTGCCCCCGCCCAGCCTCCCAGTCTAAATGTCCTCCCTGCAGCTGGGAGGAAGGTTCTCACCAAGATCTCCTGGCCGGGCGTGGTGGCTCACGCCTGTAATCCTAGCACTCTGGGAGGCCGAGGCAGGAAGATCACTCGAGGTCAGGAGTTCAAGACCAGCCTGAGCAAGAGCGAGATCCCCATCTCTACTAAAAATAGAAAGTAATTAATTGGACAACTAAAACTATATAGTAAAAAAAATCAGCCGGGCATGGTGGCGCACGCCTGTAGTCCCAGCTACTTGGGAGGCTGAGGCAGGAGGATCGCTTGAGCCCAGGGGTTTGAGGTTGCTGTGAGCTAGGATGACGCCACGGCACTCACTCTAGCCTAGGCAACAGAGTGAGACTCTGACTCAAAAAAAAATCTCAGAGCAGAGGAGCCTTCCTAGCCCACTCCTGTGCAGCTGCACCAAGGGCCCATGAGGCATGATGGGAAGAGGGGCATTTGTTTCTGTTCGTTTTACAAATGGACAATAAATTCCAGGTTGTTTGCCGAGTCCACTAGCAGCGTCTGTAAGTGTGTGCCGGTGGTCAGGCGCAATCCAGCCCCTCAGCCCAGGGCCCGGCGGCTCTCGGCCGCCCGTGAGAGCGCAGACGCGGCTCTGGCCCAGTGCAGGGTCCCGCCTGGGAGCCACTGCTTTTCCTCTAGTAGAACCAAAGAAAGGGCCAGAGACACAGTCTCTCCTCTCTTAACTTACAGTTCTTAGCCACATACTCTGTCTCCGTGCAAATGGCAGTGAATTTCAGGCTTCTAAACATGCCGCGTATTGTATATTCCCCAGGGAGAGAGAATGTGCCGACTGTACCTCTGTGTCAGAGATTTTGCTTTGCACGTAGATAGGGTCCTTATCATCAGAGAACTGTCATCACGCGACAGGTGAATCTGACAAGCAGAAAGCATCTCAAGAAATTCTGGCTTTTGAGTGAACTACAAACACCCTCTCCCGTGAGAACCATCTGGACACTTCCTACAGCCCCCAGGGCAAACCAACCGTGGTGTCTTTAAAATCACTCTTTAACCTAAGTGTCCATCAGAGGAAAGATGAATAAAGAAAACTTGCTACATATATACCACGGAATACACTTCGGCCTTTAAAAAGGAAGGAAATCCTGTCATTTGTGACAACATGGATGAACCTGGAGGACATTGTGCTAGGTGAGATAGGCCACGCACAGAAAGACAAATACTGTACGACTAAAAAAGTCAAATTCATAGAAACAGAGAGTATCCAAGAACTGGGGAGTAGGGGAAATGGGGAGATACTGATCACAGGATATAAAATTTCAGTTAGGCAAGTCGAAGAGATCTATTGTCCATTATGGTGACTACAGACCTATAGATCTATTGTACATCATGGTGACTTTTTGCACTTTCTGCACTTTTCATAGTCTTCTCTTTTCTTCCCAGATGCATCAAGGTGATGGAAACTTAGTTCTCTACCCCAATGAGACCGTCTTCCAAATTCTCTTTCCTGATGGGACAGGCCAGATACAGTATCCGCTCGAGAACGGGGATGCTCATGTTGACATACGTTGACACCTAAAAAGTCTGTGATTTGGGGGTGGGGTGAGGGGCTTCACGGAGGCCTGCATCCTCCGCAGGGGGTCCTGTCTTTCCCAGAGGTCCCAAGGGACTGCTTGTGCCTTAACCGCCTCCCAGCTACCCGTCAGGGAACCTGGCTATGATCATCTTCTGCACGAAAGCGGGAAAGTTCACGTACCTCATTATGGAAGACTGTGAGATAGGTTGGGTGCGGGGCCTTATCAACAACTCTGGCCATGCCACCTTCTACGATGAAAACGGGGATATCTGGTAAGCTGGGGCCCTGCCGGTGGGGAAGCAGTGTGGGGAGAGTGTGATGTCCCATCTGCGTGGCCTCCCCCACTCCCTGTCTCTGACCCACAGCGTGGGCAATGGGAGGTCGGTGCCAGGGTGACCCAGAGCAGCAGAGATGGCCTCATTGCACCATTGCCTCCCTGTGGGCGGAGCCACAATCGAAGACTAACCACGTTCTACGGGTTCATCTCCTAAACACCTCTTGAGAGCCAGCCCTGTGAGCATCACCTTAGAAAGACCCGATATCTCACACGGGAGGGTTTGGTGAGGGCTTTGGAGAAACGTGCCTTCTATACAGATGCCGTGGTCCAAAGGGCAACTTCTAAGTATCTCCTGACAAATGAACTTAGTTCCTAAGTTCCCATTTCTGGTAATGATGAAAAATTTTATCTCACCGATTCGACTCAATCACTTCAAAATATATCTCCATCTCTTAAGAGGTAAGTGCACTCTTTTCATCATGTCCCCTCCCCTTCTCTTCTAAATGGCCATAGCACAAGAGATGTCTATTATCTTGCATCAACTTTATACTTTCTTCTTGATAGTCAAAGCCAAACTTGTTTTTGTTTTTTTTAATTCCAAAAAAAGTATTTTCACCCCCCAGGCTTTGGTTTTTTAAGAATATTTTCTCTGCTATGAGTCTTTTTAGACACCATTTCCTGATGCACTCCTTTGTTCTGCAGGTATCTGCCTGTATCAGGGCCCTTTGTGTAGAAAATGCCTCTGCCTGAAAACTGCACCAAGGTCCCAGGTGCAGGAAGCGAAGGGAGTGGGGCAGAAACGCAGCTAATTGTCTCCAGCAGGATCTGGGACTCACAGCAGGGCCTCCTCTCCCTAATGACCCTCAACTGTAGGGCCAGGGGAGCCCTTGGGGAAATCTAGAAACTGCTTTCATTTTACTGATGAGGAAACTTATGTTCAGAGAACATGCTAAGTCAGTTGCTCTGAGGCATGCGTGAAATTATAAGCAAGAAGTCTGATGAGATTTTGACTCAATCTAAAATAAAGCATTTTAAAAAAAATTATCAGATAACATGTGCAAGAGATACCGCACCTTATCCCTGAATCTCAGCCCCCCAATACCAAAGGGGAAGGGTGACGCTCAGAGTCGAGGTTAAGAGCTGACTCTTCACCCCGACCCAAGACTCTGATTCTGCAGGTCTGGGGTAGGGCCTGGAGACCTGTGTTTCTTTAAACAATTCCCAGAAGCCTCTGTGGGTCAGCCAGGTGTGGGCGCTCCGGCTAGTGCCCTCCGCTGTGCCCTTGTGCCTTTAAGGCTGTGGAAAGGGGTGATGCCAGGAGCCACAGTGACAGGCCCAGCCCTTGTCCCCCAGGGGTGTGGCATCCTCTCAGGGCTGTAAGATACAGACAGGGGACCCAGATCCTCAGGGAGCCACGACTTGGCCTCCCCAATGTGCTGACACCCAGACTGTTGCTAGGGCCCTGGAAACGCCTCCACTTTGTGAGGAAATGGCCCAGGTGTCCTGTCCTAGGGGCAGCAGTGACCAGCAGTTTAAAGTCTCTCTTTCCCAGAACAGCCTTGTTTCTAGGCCCCTGGCACCAGCCTTGTCGCCAGCCCGTGGTCTGGGCATGCCTGACTTCTCATCTCTCATCTCAGCCTTTGGAACCTGCTGCCTTTCTGCCCTTGGAGGAATTTCAGAAACTCTGTGAACCATGACTCACATGTTTCTGAGAGTGGGAGAAATACTGGCAGCTTTCCCTAACCCTAAGCTCCTCCCCTGGAGAAAACAGGGTGGCTTAACTTGGGAGGCTTCCTGTGTTCCAAGTGTAAAGTTTTCTGGCAGCAAAAGAAACAGTGAGAGAGAGAGTGGGGCCAAACAATGTGGCTTTATTGTGCGCTCCCAGACGAGGTTCGAGGGTTCCAAGAGAGGGTCGGCCCTGAGAAGTTGCACCTGTTTGAAGGGGGTGAGGGTCTTTATACTGTTTGAGGTGGACCGGAGACTTCTGGCAGGAAAAACTGGGATTTTCCCCTGTGACCTTTGGTGGTTTAGGAGGGGCTGGCAGTATCTGCAGAATCCAGAAACCAAAAACTTTCTTATCTGGGTGGACATCCAGGTATTGTTATTGCTTTCAGCAGGGTCTGGTCTCGTGAGCCTTTTCTTTTTGATCTAGGGAGGAGTGGAGGGCCTGCCACCAGCCTTACACCAAGCTCATCTGTTAGGCTCAGAGTGGGCCTCACAAATCTTGATAAATAGCCCAATGGTGCAGTGTCCTACCCACAGGGACACAGGCCAGGGCCTGAGCCACCCATTGGGGCATCCAAATTCACCCTGATTTGTGTGGCCCTTCCGGCCCCCACCGGGCAGCCTCTGCCTCTCCTTCTTCCCTCCCACCTGCCCCCAGTGGTGTCACTGATGTCTCTCTTGCCCTTTTGTCTTGGTGCTGCACAGATGGCCAAGCTGGCCAGGCAGAGGAGGGAAGCCCCCACACCCCAGTCCCTGCACATAGGCCCCTGGGTGGGAGCTACACCATCCACGTGTATCCACCCCCCCCCACCTGCCACCCCCGAACGTCACACCGCAGGGCCAGACCCTCTTCCTGAACGGGCTTCCCACCTACAGGCTGCTTCCTTCCCCAGGGGCAGCTGCACCAGACAAAATTGTGGCCCACCGAGGAAGGACTTGGTTCCTGAGGGAGTTGGTTCATCAACAAGACTGTCATCCCATTGTCACTAGGGGGTTCTGTGTCACTAGGAGATTTTGTTCTTGGTCACCAAGAACACTGAACGAGCCAACACCGAGCCCACTGCTCCCAGAGGAAGTGTGTGCACATACATACGCTCACGCAGGGTCGTGGCTGTGCACAGAGCGGGGACATTTGTTTCCCAATGTGCTCGTTCCCCGCTGAGATCGAACGGGGCCACTCTCTGCCTTCCTGTCTCCGCCTTCCCAGCCAGGGGACCAGAGACAGAAACCGGGACAGGGACAGGGCAGTATAGTGCAAGGAGCTCTGGTCTGGGGCCACCTGGGCTGGGCTTGAATCCCAGATATGGCACCTGTTAGTGGAGCAGCCTCAGGCAAGTCACATGACACCTCCTTTAAAAAAAAAAAACTACATAAGAGTTCTGGAACATGACAGGTTTTTGTTTTTAATAACTGACCAGTATTTTATTTTTTTATTTCAAAATATTAATTAAGGGGGGACCAGTGTTTATATTGCATGAATAGCTTGTCTAGTGCTTGGGTGAGTCCATGATCAGAGGAGTGTGCACTGTACCCGTCAGGAAAGCTTTTTATCCCACACCCACCGTCCTGCCCTCCCCCTCCTGGGCATCTCGTGTCCTTTATGTCAAGGAACAATGACACTTCTGAGCCTTGTCTTCCTTTTGTAAAATGAAACAGAGTCTAGCAGGATGGATTGTTTTTAGGATTTAAGATTATAATCTACGTGAGATGTGTGTGTGTGTATAAATATATTGCATGATTCCCGTAGGAGCTATGGGTTCAGTTCTCACTAAATCTGGCTGCATAGAACATAACTACCATGAATAATGAGAATTGACCGTATCTATTCATAAATTATATGAAGGAAACTAACAAGGGGTGGCAAGGAGAGTCCTGGTGGGAAGCAGAGGGGCTGGACAGGAGTCTCCTCTGAGGAAGTGACATCCGAGCTGAGACCTGAAGGATCAGCAGAGGCCAGGCATGTCACGATGGGCAGGGGACCTTTCCAGGCAGGGGAAGAGCGTGACAGAGCCAGGAGGAGGAGGAGACAGAGGGAGGCAGCACCTGGTCTCAGGGCAGCCTTCGTGTTGGACCTTCTCCCACCACCAGGACCTTGTGGGTCTTCCTAAGGCCAGAGGGGGACGGGGAGGAGGGTAGGGGCCCCAGGACTGCGTGCTCGGCTGCCTGATGCTTCTCTCCTCTAGGCTGAGCCTAAGCCGCAACCTGGGCTACTACTTCTGCAAAGACAAGCACCTGACGGCCTGGAACTGGTGGAATCTGAGCATCCACGTCCATGCACCTCCGATCAAGCCCATCTCCTTGAGCATCAACCAGTACATCTGGGTACAAATACAGAGCCAGGACAAGATCTTCTGCCACTTCACCCATGAACGCAAGCGGATCTGTTTCAACCTGGGCACCAGGTACAAGGTAAGGCGGCAACTCCCCACACCTACAGCCGCTGCTGCTTGGACAGGCCCCATTCTGCATCACACTGATCAGTAGAAAAACAAGGCCACCTTCACATACCTGGTGCTTAGCCTTGTACAGGTGCATTCACGGAACTTCCCAGCACCGTGAGATTGGGCTCTGAGGACACTGGCATCCTCAGAGAGCTGGGGCTACGAGCCTGACAAAAAAAACCAAAGATGTCAACATGCACAATCTCACTTGACACCCACAGCAAGCCATTCACGGAGGGGGGGGCAGAAACAAGGGGGAGATCTGTGTCCCCAGCCCTGCCACCATGCCCTTGTCACCCTCCCCAACACACAAGTGGTCACCTAGGAGTCTGAAGTGCCCCGCCCAGGCCGGGCAGGAAAGTCGGAGCCGTGTACTCGTCTCCTAGGGCCGCTGGGACAAATGACCACAAACCAGGAGGCTTAAAATGGCAGAAGCTTACTGTCTGGCCGTTCTGGAGGCAGAAAGTCTGAAATCAAGGTGTCAGTGGGGCCGCCTTCCTCTGATCCTCTAACGGAGGATCTTTCCTGGCCTCTCCCAGCGTCTGGAGGCCATGGGCTTCCTTGGCTCTCGGCCACGCAGCTCCGGCCCCGTGTCCATCCTCACGGCCTTCTTCTCTGTGTGCCTGTGTCAAATCTTCCCCTCCTCCTATAAGGACACCAGGCATTGGGTTTCGGGCCTGCCCTAAAGCCAGGCTGAGCTCATCCTGAGATCCTTAATTACCTCTGCAAAGACCCTATTTCCAAATAAAGTCAATTCACGGGGTCTGGGGGCTAGGACTTGGACATATCTCCTGAGGGACATAATTCAAACCCCTGCAAATGGTGGGCCTGGAGCCCCTGGAATTCTGACTGAAGGGGGGACCGAGGTGGCTCTCCAGGCCTTTCCTGAGGACCAGAGTCAAGGGAGCGAACAGGGTGTGGTTGGCCACCCCGGCGAGGCCTACACAGGGCCTGTTCTGCCCCAGCTGCTCTCCATGCTGTCCCCAGTTCCACACGAAAGCTCCATTACAGAGCCCCCGGGAGGCACTGGAGGCCTCTGGAAGCAGGACCTCCCGGGGAGACACACACGGCCTGTCCCCTGGCCGCTGAGCCGGTGGGGAGGGGGTGATGGAGGAGCAGCCCAGCAGCAGAAGACTCTGGCAGAGTTAAGCCTCGCGTGTGTTACTTGAGAGGACAGGAGGGAATGTGTTAGGCTTGCGGTGACCTGCCACCCCCGTTTGCCCAGGTCTGAGCTGTTTTCCAGGACTTTGGGTGCTAAAACTGGGAAAGTGCCCAGCTGGCCACCTGGGTTCCCTGCCTGCCAAGGCCTGCTATTTTGAAGGGTGAATAATGACACCCTGACATCCTTGCCCACGCTGGATTCCAGGAGCAGCCCACCCCATAAAGAGGCGGCCAGCGCCCCCATCCCTGTGTGGCTGTTCACACTCCCGCCACAGCAGTGACCGGCTAAGAGGACACAGCGGGGGCCGGAGAGCACAGGGGCCTGGGGTGCCGGCCTCGGAATGGCAGGGGGCTCCCCTGGGGGAGGAGGGCTGGGCGAGGGAGGCCAGGCCCCAAGAGGGCATGTAGGGGCCGACGTGGGCAGAGAGACGCAGAGGCCTGACAGGCCCTGGGAGCCGGAGAGCCAAGGGCGGCTGTGTCAGCGCAGGGCGGGTCCCAGAGGAGCCGATCGCACCAGTGCAGCAGTCAGAGTCCCAGGAAGGGGACAGAGCCAGGCACAGACGGGACAGCGGTACGCCCGGCCCCTCCACTTCCTGGGTGATGCCAGCCCCTTGCCGAGCCCAAGGTCTTCTGTAAGATAAGAAGGGCCCGGGCGTTGTACCACTTAAACAGATGTGTTGTCTAGACACTTCGTAAGCTGGTCACCTCACAGTCACAGATTATATGAGTATTGTCCTTTATGGTTCACCCCTCTAGGACACTCCTTTCTTGGTCTTCTGTAGGTTGCACACCAAGGCAGAAGGGGCACGGAGGTGCGCTGGGGCAGGACTTCCTCCTAGCCAAGCCTAGACATGCCCAAGGTGGAAGTAGGGCTCACAGGCCACCACCCAGGCCACCACCGCGAGGCCTCCCACCCTGGCAGGGTTCTTCCCGGCTTGGGGGTGGGGGGAGCCCGAGGCAAGAAGCCCGACACCCCCAGGAGAGGGCCCCCTTCTGTAGACAGGCCATACCGGGGCACAGAGCTGGTTTCCTCTGGTTTGAGGTCAGCCGGGGCCGTGGCTTCAGCCCACATCACCGCAGTCAGGTGACAAAAAGCACAGGCCAAGCGGGTGTATGGGGGAGGCAGCAGGAAGGCCGCAGGCGGCAGGGCTGGGAGCACAGGTTTGCTCGGGAGGGTGAAGGTTCCAGGGGAGATGGGGACAGCGCCGGGGCGGAGGGCGCGGCGCCCCTCACCCAGCCTTCCGTCAACCCCCACAGTTCATCCTCCCGGATGTGCTGAAGGAGATGAAGAACACAGCGATCCTGGAGTTGGAACCCCGCCCCATGGCTCGGAAGATCCAGGTCCTCCTGGGAAAAATAAGTCGGATTCTGCAATTCCTGTCTATCTCTGATTTGGAGACCTTCACAGAGGCCTGCTACAGGCCAAACTGTAACTCCAAGAAGAGGAGGCTGTCTCCACTCTGGATTTAGGGTGGTCACCCAATTTTCCCAGGGCTTCTCTGGCAACCGTGGAGCGTCTTGGGAAGGGGCAGCCCCTAGGCGTTCCAGGGACAACCCCAGAGACCTGTTTGTCTTTTGAGAGTTGGTTTGTAATTTGGGACTTCTGGGTTTAAGAAAAAAAAAACAAAAGTTTAGGGGGCGTTGACAGAATCTGTGGCTGGGCAGGGAAAAGCCTTGGCGGTCAGCTCTGACACGTGTGTCAACTCCCGTCCTGCTGGTTCCTGCTGGTCCCTTACTATGCGGAAGTGCTTTTGTGGCTTTAAGTCCTTGCCTTGACTCAGGACACCGACTCTCCAAGCTCAGAGCCCGGCCCTGCCCCATGTTGGCTGTGCCACCTTGGGCAAATAGCTTAGACCTCAGTTTCCTCCTCTGTAAAACGCATCTAGAAATAGTACTTGTCACCACAGAGTTGGGAATATTAAACCACTTAACGCTGTCCCTAGAACAGTGTCTGGCCCACAGGAACCACTCAGCCAGTGCCACTCTAGTTACTGTCAGCGTGGCCCTTCCTTTCAGAGCCGGGCAGCTCTGGGGAGGTGTTTGTCATTGTGCATCTCTTGGGTGAGGCTTAGCGTCGCCGCACTTCCTCGGCCCGCAGAGCGCGGCCCCACCCAGTTCCTCAGCCTTTCCCATCTCCATATCGCAGTTGTTCCCCGTGACCCAGGCAGGGCCTGTGTAAGCCCTGTGCAAGTCCTAGCTCTTGTGGCCCTGTGACGTGGGCAGTCTTTTCTCAGGGACACCGGGGCTCAGAGTGGTTAGATGACCTCCCCAGGATCACATTAGTAAAGCTTGGCCTTCCAGCCCACTACAAAGTGGCACCACTCTGGTGACAACACAGGGATTTTAACACTCTCCACCCCAGGCATCGCCACTGCTCAAGGCCTCTCTCCAAATGCTACTGTCCTTATTCCACTTTGCTGCCCGGAACGACAAAGTGCCCATTCCAGGGAGCTGTGGAGGCCAGTCAAGGCCACCCAGCTGCTGCTGACGGGACGCAGATCCCAAGTCAGCCTCCAGTCCAGCCACTGCTCCTGGCTTCCTACCACCTACCTGGGAAGCACCCCCAGAACACAGCGCCTCTTCCTAAGGGCAAGGGAGGGGAGGGGAGGGCAGGAGGGCTTGGCGCCTGGACCCCCCACGCCTCCTGCCCTGCCCAAGGCTCTCTCCAACCCCGACCTCATCACAAACACCCCCGTCCGCCCCTGCCAAGGCAGAGGGAAACCCAGATGGGAAAGCCACACCAGCCTGTACCCCTCCCTCCACATCAGGAGCACAACGACCCTCCAATGGCTGGGACTTTTGGTCACTGCTAACAGTTACTAGCTCAAGCAGTTAAAACGAAATAGGCATTGTGTAACCTGGACAGCAGGGCATGGATCCAGATAGAAGCAGCAGTGGGCCTCAGAAAGGACGAAAGTGACACTCTCATGTCTGTGACACTCTCGTGTCTGTGACACTCTCATGTCTGTGACACTCTCATGTCTGTGACACTCTCCTTGTCCTGGAGCCATGTTTTCTAGACATCTCATTCCTGTGGCTTTGTGTCTCCATCTCTCTCAGAAGAGCCCCGCGGTCTCTGGTTGGCCCTCGTAGTGAGGAGACCACCCTTGGTCCAATCCCGCCTGGTAAGCGGAGGTGGGGCTGTGTCTTGTAAACACGGCTCCCGGCGGATGCCTGAGCATGGGGAGGGTCGGCAGTTTCTAGAAACAGGGGTGTTGAGCTCGGCAGCCCCCACTAAACCTCCCGGGATGACCTTAACTCCAGCCTCTACCAAGACAGTACAGGAAACGCCTTTCTCTGGCTCAGCCTAGCAATGGGCCATTTCCTGCTGTGATCCGTGACACCCGAGTGCCACCTTCTTGATGACCTCCGCTGCCACCAACCTTCACCGAGTGTCCCGTTATCCCCAGACCATCCCGCAGAGCTGAGCTGGGACCAGAGCAGTCAGGCCGGCAGGGGCAGGGCACCTCACAGTCACTCCCGTTGCCTGCCTGTCGCCCCCTGCTGGTGAGTGCTGGCCTGAAACAACAGGTCCTTGGGTGCAAGGTGAGGAGCCGTACATGGCATACAGACTCCAGCGGCAGCTCCCCTCACACTCCCACAGAGTGTGAGGGCCAGGTTGGTGCTGCACCGGTGCCCAGTGTGCAGGGAACCCGTCCTCGCCACGCATGCAGAACAGAAGCCCCCAAGCACACGCCATGCCTGCAGCCGTCTCTCGTCCCCTCCCCCCACCGCCCCCGCCGCACAGCGGGACGGGAAGAAGCCTGCCCTGGAATCCAAGGCGCATGTTCCCTGCACCCAGACAGCCCCCAGTCTGCCTCTCAGCGCTGCCACTTAGCTGTGTGACCTTGGCAAAGGCAGGGAACCCTCCGAGACTCAGTTTCCTCCAATGTAAGATAGGACCACCATAAAACACACCTCACATGGTCACAGTAAGGATTAAACAAGACAGTGTAGGTAAAGCTGAATAAACGTTGGCTCTTAGCATTGTCAGCCGGTCCTGCTCTGTGACCCTTGTCCCTGCAGAAAATTTCTAACGTTATTTCGCTGATGCAGAGGCTGTAAACAGGTAGCCTGGCAGAGGCACTTTCTTTGCACAGCATCCCATTTTAAAACACTTTGTTGCCAAACATTTAAAAGCCAAGAGATTTCACACAGAAATACAGATTTCCAGCTTCCCTCACGTGCTGTTAGCGAAGGCTGGGCAGAGTCACAGCACTCGGGGACTGTGTCCATGAGGAAAAGGGAATCACAGCACCTCGTACACTAGCAAGTGCTGGAGTAGCCACGCGGAAGGCCAGGCCTGTGACAGTCCAGGTCCCACCCCCTGCATCAGTTTGCTAAGGCTGCTGTACTCAAGTGCCAGCAACCGGAGGGTGAACCAACAGCAACTTACCGTCTCACAGTTCTGCAAACAGTTCAACATTAAGGTGCCAGCAGGGCCGTGTCGCTTGGAAGGCGCTAGGGAAGGATCTGCCCAGCTTCTGCCAGTCCCGTGGCTTGTGGCAGCACACTCCAGCCTTCGCGTGGCTTTCTCCCGTGGGTGAGTGTGTCTGTCAAATTTCCTCTTTCGCTAAGGACACCAGTCATGTTGAATTAGGGACCCACTCTACTCCAGTGTGGCTTCGTCATAACTAAATACATCTGCAACGACCCTATTTCCAAATAAGGTCGCATTCTGAGGCACTGGGGGTTAGGACTTCAACAGATAAATTTGGGGGGACCCGATGGAACCCATAACACCCTCTCTGTCTGTCGCACACCCCTGACCCCTCCCAGGGCCCCACATTCCTGCGGGAACAAATTCTCCCTGATTCAATGTCATTTTATCTTCAGTGATTGGCAGAAAAAGGCACTTGTAAATGAAAATGAATTAAGCTGGGCTGTTCATCAGTGACACTAACCTGGTAGGTTATACCCAAGGATGTTCTGATGGGTAATTAATCAGTAAATGTCCCAAGGTAACTGGGGCCTCTTCCAGCACCCACAGAAAGGGTGGTTAATTGCACTATGCAACAAACACACACTGAGTGCCTACCAGGTGCTGAGAACACGCTCTGCACTCCAAGGACGACACAGTGCAGGACAGAGAAGCGAGCAGCAGCAGAGCAACACATTACTGTTTCATGGGGGAAGCGCAGTGGAGCACAGAAGAGGCATCGGAACAAAGGGAACAGACAAGGGAGGCCCCTTCCTGAGCTGAGCTGCAGGATGAAGAGGAGCTGGGGGTGCGGCACTTGCTGGGAGTTCCAGGGGGAGGCAAAGGCATGTGCAGAGATAGAGCCAGGAGTCTGGGAGAGACACTAAGGTCGCGGCGTGCGGAGATGCACTGAACAAGTCTCTTTCTTTGGCTGTCCAACCCCCAGTCCTCTATGGGAAGGAATCACCCTTGGGAGCATTGTGCACCGGGAAGTACCCTGCCTCCAACCGCAGAACCAAAAAAATGTGGTGTCAGTCAGGGTCCGGTCAGAAATCACACCAGTTATTTGAACAGGGAAAATGCAACGTGAACTAATAACAAGTTAACACTAAAAAGGGTAAAAGGGAACTTTAACAGTTGAAGAACAGCAAGAAGCAGGGTGCAGCTCTCTCTGTGGGAGTGGAGCTAGCACACAGGAAGTGGCTGCGAGGGGGCAGAAGCTGGCTCCCAAGAAGCTTCTCGCTGGGATGCCAGGAAAACTCGCTGGAAAGTGGCTGCCACCAGACCGCCAGCCTCTGCTAACAACATGAGGAAGGAAAAACACACACCAGAAACAGAGACCCCCTTCCCCAGGAGCACCCTACAAAGCCCAACACTGCACCAGCTGGCGAAGGAAAAATGTTCTCAAGGCCCAGCTCCAGAATCTCAAGGTAGGGCAAAAAGGGTGAATTTATAGCTAAGAGGCAATAAATTGATAACTGGCACAGAAAAAATCCTCCTCGTCTGTTCCAATATTCAAAACTTGGAAAACCAAACACGTGCGCGCGCGCGCGCGCACACACGCACACACACACACACACACACACACACCTCGTGGGGGGTTAGGTTGGCCATGATGAAAGCAAGTTGCAACAACCCAGTCCAGGCCCTGCCACAGCAGTGGAGATAGTCCAGACCAACTCTTTTGGCTTTGAAAAAAACAAAAATGCACCTGTGATGCTTCCTGGTCTTATCCTTCTGGTTCTCCAGCCTCTGGCCTGTTACCAGAGTCATCTATATCCTTCCAATAAAGTCCTTTCCTGCTCAAGTTAGACAATGATGTCTTCCCTTGTCTGCACTCAAGGATGTTGACAGATATAGAGGATGAGCAGGAAGAACACCAGGCTGGAGAGCCTACCTGTCCTCAGGAGTTCAAAGCTTTATAAGGCTGGGCTCTTGCAGTAAAGATATTTCAATATTCTAAGCAAGGAGTTGAAAATGAGGGCCTTGACCCAGGGCAGTGGCATTGGAGATACAGAGGTGGGAAGGAATTGAAGCGCTGAGATAGAGAATAGGCAGTACCTGGTAGTGATGGGATGGCATGGGGAAGGCTGCATGACTTTGGCAACAGTCACTCAACAAATACTCATTGAGCACCTACTGCAGGCACTGTTCTAAGTGCTGGGCATGAACAAAACAAAGTTCCTTTCCCATGGAGCCTGCGATCTGTATAAG